ACCTCCCCAAGCATCGGCACGGGGAAACGACCCATGACGATTATCCCAGTTAACGGTAGGTGATGCACTATACGAATCAATCAAAACAATAATAATAATATCAGTTAACAATTTCACTTCCAGTCCCTGATCTTACTTCAATCAGTACATAATGATTTATATATCAAGTCTTATTTAATTTTCTACAAAAAATTTAAACTTCTCTAAAAAGTCAAATTTGATGTGACTGTCGTCCCGTACTAGTTACATACCTTTCATTCCTCTGATGCCATCCGTTAGAACGGCGTGATTGAAGAGGTGGAACCAACTCGTCAGACTCGTTACTATTTTGATCGTTATTATTATTTTCATTATATCTTTGTGACCGTTGTTGCTGCGCGGGTTGCTGTTGAGATTGTTCACGATTTCTCAAGTGCGGAGGAACATAACGACCAGCGGTAGGTTTCCCCGAATTTTGATTATCTTTGAGGCCTAAATTAGCTGCGCTCCCAATTATATAAATAGATTGAGAACGAATAAAAGTGAACGAGAAATGTAAGATCCACATAAGAGATAAAGGAAAACCAGATGGTAAGCGATTTTGTTTGATACTTAATTTGTTATTTGCAATGAACTAAACTTATTACATACCAAATTGCTGCTCTAGGCGTGCATTGTTGGAATTGCCATTGCTCATAATTGTTTTTTTTTTCTTTTTCTAATTTATAGTCGCAAACGACAGGGAAGTAAATATATTTTTTTGTTTAAAGAAAAGTAAAAAAAAATGTGTATTAAGAAAAAGATTTAACCTATTAGTAGTATATTATGAAAGGTAAATGGTATATGGGGATTTTTAGTCATACGTCACAAGGTCCAATCGTCACTTGAGATCCACATATGTTGGAGTAATAAATAGGAACCAATCCATGAATTGTGCGTTTCCATACAAGATTCTTTGTTATTACTGATTTCAAACAACAAAACAATTTAACAATAGGTTATTTTTCTTGGGCAACATAATTATAATTAAAAAATAATAAAATTTTTTATTTACTATAAATTATTATTTTGATAATTGACATCTAAAATTTTAATTTAATATTAAGTAACAAATAATTGTTTAATAGTAAAATGTTTTTTTTAATATTATAATTAATTAATAATTTATAAATACATAGTGACTCGTTATAGTGTAGTTAAAAGTTTAAAAATTTTCTACACTATAATGAGAGATATACAATAGTGAAATTTTACTTTAAAATAAATTTATTATTATAATAAATATAATATTATACAGTATATCAAATTTATTAATTAATAAAGTAAAATTAAAATATTATTTTATTAATCTTTAAAAATGTCAACTATTTTAAGTTGCTTCTTATTTTTGATATTTTTTTTAACAATTTGATATTTTAAACTATTTAAAACTTTCATAACTTCAAAATTAACTCTTATACTATAAGATTATTTTGTTGTAAATATTTTATTAGTTTTGTTAATTTCTCAATGCATCTATTATTTTTACTGGTAATTTTAATTCTTTATTATTTTCAAATTCTTGAGTTTCTTTCTTATTTACAAATTGAACAATTTCTTCATTTGTTATTTGTTCTATATTTAAAACTTGATTATCTATTTGAATATATTTAATTGCAATATAAGATTAAAGATTTGAGATATTTGATATATAATATTTATAAGTTTATTTTTAATTTTATAAGTATAATTATTAGTAAATTAATAATTATCTAAAGTTTTAAAAGAAGAAAGTATATCTACATAATATTAACTATTTTCAATTATAACTTTTTTATGAAATTATAAGCAGTAGTAAAAAAATTAATTGTATTTCAAATTGTAAGAAAGTTAAAATTAAGAATTTTGAAAATGGTAAATTCTATGGTTCCGAAAATTGAAATCGAATAGAATCGAATAGAATCGTATGAGGTTCGGAACACTATTAAAAATGATAGTGAAGTATCCCCACCTATTAAATTTAATATAAACTTAAGAATCAAATACAGAATCGAAGAGAATCATTAGGATCCTTAGTAAATTCATAAGTTTCAAATTGATTTTTGTATAAAATTTGTTAATAATAAGCCTAAATAAATATAAATAATAAATTAATTATAATAAATAATCATATATGATAATTTATATTATACAGATCATCAAAATAAATGATTTTTTTTTTTATTCTAATGGATAGACATAATAATAAATATAAAATAGATAAATAAAAGGGAGAAATAAATAAGTAGACAGATGCAAATAAATATAAAAATAAATAAATAAATGAAAATATAAGTGAAATAAATGAATATAAAAATAAGTGAAATAAGTAAATATAAAAGTAAATAAAATAGGTAAATAAAAAAAATAAGTAAAATTGATAAATATAAAAATAAGTTTTTTTTTTTTTTATAATAATTGGTATATATCTTATTTATTAAATATTATTATAAGTATTCTTATATATTTGTAACAAATGTTAAATAATATCTATTCTTTAAACTATCTAAAATAGAAAACTATTTACTGATTAACTTGTTACTTTTTATATTTTCTATATTATTAATATCAGAGCCCTAATAATATAAATAGAGAATTAATTTGCCAAGATGTATACTTTTAAGTCTTTATTTATATCCAATAAACAGGAACTTAAAAAACTATTTGGATATAGTTAGCTGCAAACTAGTTATATTCTATTGGCTCTAATTAGATCTATTAAAAATAAAAAAATAAAAATAAAGATATTGTGATCAAAATCTGTTTGATCCATATCTGGGTAATAGTTTTTAGAAGGAATTAGAGATTATATAGAACAGTCTGTTGTTCCAGAGATAATCTTTCACAAATATTCCAAGGTACGGCAAAGATTTTCCAATAAATCTTTGTAACCAAAATATATTTAATAAAATAATAATACTTTATTAAGACACCAAGTCAAAAATTTCAACAGTTACAAGAGTGAGTTATTAGAAATTGACTAAAAATTACATGGACGATAGCTACTTATATACTGTTTTCTATCCTAAGCTATCTGAACTGCCTGAGCTATCTGATCTACGTGTTGCAATGTCATAATTTCATAGATCATAGATCTTGTAGATCTTCTGGGCCTTCTGGGTTGTTTGAACCTTCTAGGCTGTCTGATCTACATCACATATGCTATAAATAGATATTTATACTATTATAAAATAATAAATCCTATTGCTAAAAATAAACTAATAATAATTCAATAAAAATAAGTAAAAATAAAACTAAGTTATCCATTTTATCACATATTCCCTTCCTTTAAAAGGCGAAGTCCTCTGAGCCTAAACTTTTTACGAAAGTTAGAAAATTATTCCTATAATCTCCGTTGGTTATTCCGGCAATATAATACATAGACAAGTACTTTGTTCGATAAATTTGCTCCATATTATTTTGAAAAATCTTATAGGTTTGTATGGCGGATCGATAATATCTCTCATGATTAGATAATGGATATTTTTGGATATATTCTCTCCAAGTTTGTCGTGCGTTTCTCATGACTTCCAATAATTCTTCCAAATAGTACAAGTGGGCTAACACGGCAATTCGATGAAATTGTCGCATATATTGGATAATTTCCAAGATCGTCATCCTAATAGATTCATTGTTTTGTGTGATCGGATTATATGGTATAGTAAATCTTTCAGAGATTTCATTCAAAATGGAAAGCATATCCATTTTAAATAAGTTCATTTTTCCCAAGGCTGATTGTTAATGTGTGAGTTTGGGCATTTCTTATGGTAGGAATTTTCTCAGGATTAGGGATACTTATATAAGTTTTTGAGGTTACGCTGATCAACCTTGTTGGTTACTTCTATATTTAAGGGCTCAATTTTCTCCTTACTATTTTTCTATTCCCTATCCTCCTGATTATAATTATGCCTTATGTTAACAGACTTGCCCATGCTATTAAACATCCTGATGCCATTGTTGGTTGTATTATGACTTTCCAGGAAAAAATCAAGTTCCTTGGTCATACCATTATTGGATGTCAATGTCCAAAGTATCAAAAAGAATTGGTTGAACTGCGAAACCAATTATCTCACTTGCGGTCTCATTATCAAGAGAAAAGAAATCAATTGTGATATTTTCAAGTTCATAGTCAAGAATCCATTGGTCACTATCGGTCTCGTATTAACTTACTCCTTGAGATAAATGCTAGTCGAATATTAGCAAGGATTTATCAAGAAGATACTTTATGCTTGGAAATTTTGGCACTTCGTGAACATGTTGGTAAGCTTCAATCAGCATTATTCTGGCGTCAGCATCCTATTCCTGGTTGTTGTTCTTTTCCTTGGCAGGTCGATGTTACCTCTCGTCCTTTCGTTTGGAATCCTAATCCTTCCTGGGTGGAGAGTTATCCTCATAGAGATCCTGATCCTAATCCTAGCAATACTGAATATTCTGCTCGCTTTCCAAATTCGCATGTAGTTCATGAACCTTCAGAACCATTTTTCTAATAAATTTGTTGTTGTCATGTCTATTGCTTATATTGTTCCTTATCACTGTGTTACTCTGTGGATCGGTGATAAGATGGCAATAAGGTGTTGCTCAATGGGCCCTTGTTGTCATATAACTCGAATCTCCTCTTTTTTTTTCAATAGATAATCTTTCAAAATTAATCAAGTATCATGCGCCCCACACTTATGCACAATTGTTATGACCATCCATCTCTATTGTCATGTCCTCAAGAAAGGTAATGTCCTATAACTATATATATATTGTTCAAATAATAATAATAATAACTAATAACTATATTATAATTTGTGATTCCCAAATCGGTCTTTCAAAATATCGCTTGAGTCAGTCGGTATTGATATTCCTTTTCAAGATTTTTCCATTCATGATCCTTAATTTATAAGCTCCGGTAGAGTTTACTTCATGTATATAGTATGGTCCAGTCCATTTTTCTCTAAATTTATCTCTATATACTTTTGCTTTTGCTGATTCATATAATAAAACTTTGTCTCCAATATTGAATTTTTCCAATTTGATACCTTGATCATAGTATCGTTTTTGTTTTTCCTGTGCTTTCCCAATATTTTGTTGTGCGATTATTCGTATATTTTGAAGATTCTTGGTAATAAAATCAATATGTTGTTATAACTGCTTCTCCATAGGTTCCTTCTTGTTAATTGGCATTTGATGTTGTAAATCCATGGGTGTTATTGCCTCTCGTCCGTAAATTAATTTGAATGGTATATATTTGGTTGTACTATTTTGGACAGTCCTGTATACAAATAATAATGCATTTAGGAAAGTATCCCAAGTATCACCATAGTCACTAACATATTTGGCCAATGTAGTATATAATGTTTTGTTAAATCGTTTAGTTAATCCATTGGTTTGTGAATGATAAGCAAATAATAGACGATGCCTAATTTGCATTAGTTGACATAGTGAGTTCACTAATTCATTGCAAAAAGGTGTTCCTTGATCAGATAATAGGACTTTAGGACAT